ATGTGGAACTCCTTGTCAAGGAATATAGTAAAGGTTAAAAGTGACTTGCAGAACCAAGTCAGTTCGGTGAGCCAGGCAGGAGGACCTCTGTGCAGCCGTGAGGACCAGGCAAGGGGCGGACACTCCTAGGCCAGCCCCAAGCTTTTCTTGGAGGAGCCTCCGCCGATCGACTGATGCCCACAGACACAAAGACCTTCTGAGTGGCACAGACTCAAAGGCTGTGCCACTTTTCATAGGGAAAGCCTGTAAGTTGTACGCGTGGCCAGGGCATCTGGTAAGTCACGCAGAGATGTCTGGCGCACAGTACATCCCTGTATATTTTGTGGGTATTAGGAACAAGATATGGGTTCAGGCGTTAGGTTAGAGTCCTAAGGAGCTGCCTGATATATCTAGGGGTGCCCACTGGCGTCTTTGTTGCTGCTCTAATAGTATTATTTGTTTGTTGTTGTGTGCGGAATAAAGGATCCTTTATGATTGTGGTGTGAATGAGACGTGGTGTAATCACAAAGCAAGCGAGGAGTTCCTAATCTGCAGTTCCGTTACTCCGCGAGGAGAACAGCTGGAGATTACTTAAGCTACTGCCGAGTGAATGGAAAGTGAGTGAATGAGAAAAGAGGAGAGCGTGGCAGCTGCAGACTGAGAGGAGGAAGTCTCCCCTACTCCTTGCACTCGGTGTCAAAATTGTCACCCCATCATAGTGACCCAGTGTTTCGAGTGTAAACCTGGGTGTTCAGTTAAATTGTCCTTGCGGACAGAGTGGGCGTATTGCTGAGGTTGCTGGAAGTGGAGAAGCTTTACTGACTTCAGTTCAGAATTCTGCAACACATTGTGTGAACAAGCAGGATGGGAGCTAGTCAGAGCAGGACGGTACTAAAGAAGAAAGAAAAGGGTTCCAAGGAAGAACCAGAGGAAGGAAGGAATTTAGGTCCCCCTTAAGGACAGATCAGTGTGCCTATTGTGGTAAGACCAGGCATTGGAAACGGGAATGCCCTCAAATTAAGAACTCACCACCACAGTGTACAAACTGTGGTGAGGAAGGACACTGGAAGAAGTGGTGCCCACAGTTGAGAGATACCTCAAAAGGAATTAAATCAGCATGACTGGAACCTAGGGAATCTACCCTAGCAGACCCCTTGGTTAAATTGAAGCTAGGGAATAAAGGAAAAGAAGTAGAATTTTTAGTGGACACAGGAGCTACATTCTCTGTATTAAATCAGTGTCTAACCCCTCAGGGTGAAGATTCGGTAATGATTATTGGAGCCACTGGCCAACGGGAAAGGGTGTTTTTCTTGAGACCTTTAAAATTTAAATTGGGACGCCAAACTGTGATGCACAAATTCCTCTATATGCCAAATGCCCCAAAGTCCTTACTTGGGATGGATCTCCTACAACATCTAGGAGCAAAAATCAGTTTTAAAAAAGGGGAAATTAGCTTGGAAGTGGGGAATACCAAATTAATCAAGATTCTGAGTCTGGCACTTAATCCAAACAGAAAACAAGGAAAACCAAGCCTCCCCAGAAGTTTTAGAAATTCTACATCAAGTACATCCTGGGGTGTGGGCCTCAGATATCCCAGGCAAAGCAAAGAATGCTGCCCCGGTAAAAGTTGAGCTGAAACCAGAGGCTAAACCAGTGAGGATTATGTCTCCCTTTGAGAGCGGAGGATTGGAAAGGAATTAAAGAAATAATAGACCGATTTCTAAATTATGGGTTACCGATAGAATGTGAATCGGAATAGAATACTCCTATCCTTCCAGTAAAGAAATCCGATGGTAAAAGTTATAGGCTGGGAGAGGATTTGAAGGCGATAAATAAAATCGTGGAAGATTTGTATCCTGTAGTGGCCAATCCTTACACCTTACTAAACTGAGAAAAACCTAGGTATGATTTACCGTCTTAGATCTGAAAGACGTTTTTTTCTGCCCAGCCCTGGCAGCCGAGAGTCAGAAGCTGTTTGCCTTTGAATGGGAAAATCCTGACACAGGGAGAAAGACCCAATTGACTTGGACAGTGTTACCGCAAGGGTTTAAGAATAGCCCCACTATTTTTGGGAATCAGTTAGCACGAGAGCTTGAAAACTAGACACCTTCCTCACAACAGGGAACGCTACTACAATATGTAGACAACCTCCTAATTGCAACTGAGACTAAGGAAGATTGTGTGCAATGGACTATAAGCTTGCTCAGTTTTCTGGGGTTAAGTGATTATCGAGTTTCTCAGCAGAAAGCTCAGATGGTCCAACTGCAAGTGACTTATCTTGGATTCAAGATCTCCGGGGGAGAACGGGAACTTGGAACAGAACAAAAGGAGGCAATCTGCTGCACCCCTGAACCCACCAATGCAAGGGAACTCAGAACCATCCTCAGAATGACAGCACCGTTCCTCAGCGGACCCACTATGATTGCCTGGAAACTATGGAAGTTGTCTATTCCAGTAGACCAGACCTGAAAGAAGAACCGCTGGAGGATGCTGAGGACTCATGGTTTATAGATGGGAGCAGCTTCGTGGTCCAACGAAATCGTAAGACAGGATATGCTGTAACCACTACCCAGAAGGTAACAGAAGCTAAACCATTACCTGCAGGAACCTCTGCTCAGAAAGCGGAAATAATTGCCCTGACAAAAGCATTAGAAACTGCAAAAGGGAAGAAAATTAACATTTGGACTGATTCAAAATACGCTTTTGGAGTAGTCCATGCCTACGGCGCCATCTGGAGGGAACAAGGGTTACTCACAGCAAAAGGAAAGATCAAGCATACAGATGGATTTTAAAACTTTGAGAGGCTATCAAATTGCCCAAGAAGGTGGCCATAATGCATTGTAAGGGGCATCAGAAGGGTGACACTGAATAAGAAATTGGGAATCAATTGGCAGACCGAGAGGCTAAAAGGAAGGCAGAGAAAATATACAGTAAATATACAGGATTAGATTTTGATTCAAATCCCAATTACTCAAAGGAGGATCAAAACCTAATAAAAGATTTGGAAGTAAAAGCTGAGAGCAATGGATGGGTTAGTATACCTGATGGGCGGATAGTAGTGCCCTATCATCTCCTGTGGAAATTAGTGATGGAGGAACATAAGACGATCCACTGGGGAGCAGAAGCCCTACGTAAGAGCCTAACTAGAGGAACAGTGAGCCAGAATTTATACACCGCCGTAAGGTGTTGTATACTGTATGTATATGTATACTGTATGTAACTCAACAGTGTTAAATCTGCTTAAAAAACAATCCAGACACGACTCACCAAATTAAGATGGGTAACACTGGAAAGGGAAATGTCCCAGGGCAACATTGGCAGATTGACTTTTATGAGCTCCCTAAAAAAGGGGGGTATCAATATCTATTGGTTTTAACAGACACCTTTTCGGGTTGGCCAGAAGCTTTCCCATGTCGAACCAACAAAGCAAGGGAAGTGACTATAAAGCACTACTAAATGAGATCACCCCTCGATTCGGTGTCCCCACTGTAATTTCGTCAGACAGAGGGTTGCACTTTTCTGCCCAGATTGTACAGCAGATTAGCAAAATATTGGGAATACACTGGCAGCTTCACACTCCTTACTGACCGCAGGCTAGCAGCCGGGTAGAGAAAATGAAACACCTACTCAAACAGTAAATTGCCAAAATTTCCCAGGAGACTAATTTACATTGGTATCAAGCGCTTCCCTTGTCTTTACTGAGACTCAGAGCAAAGCCCAGACAGAAGGAAAACCTGAGTCCTTTCAAAATTTTACAAGTCAGGCCATATCTCTTTCAGTTCAAAGGGGAAGATTTAAGTCAATTAGGAGAAGAGTGGTTATATTATTATTTAATATCACTGGGAAAGGATGTGTTTCTATGAGAACGCTGTGTGATTCCATATTTATAGAAGATGTTACAGTACACATAAACAGCCATTCAAACATTTGCGTTTGTAATTTTATGAGGATTATAGGATGTGATTTTAACTACTCAGCTCCTGTAACCTCTTATCAATTACCGCAATCTAATTATATGCTAATTCATGATTCACTGCTTATTCTTATCAGGATGAATCTTTCTTTGATAAGAAGTTACTCAAACACTATGATTTGAAACAATTACCTAAACAAGCCCAAGAAAATGGACAAAAGACTCTGACTGCTGTCCACCACGATGCAGAAGAAATACATCAAGTATTGGACAGAGTGAAGAAAGATGGGCAACATCAGTGGTGAGAAATCTTTTTCGGGTGGTCACCAACAGCTACTGGAATCTTCAGTAAGATGCTACACCCCATCATTGTGTTATTAGTGCTTACGATAATACGTTTTGTTCTCATCGCAGAAATGTATGTTAAGCTTTGGCTCACGATGAAGCGTCTGAATAGACCGACCTTTTTAGATTATGAAGACTGGAGAAGGCATAAATTAAGGTATCAGCTACAATCAGGAAAATATTTTCGAAATTCTCTGGATAGAACAGGAACAATCTAGAAATAAGGTTGTGAAAGATTTCACAAGGCAGAATAAAAAGGGGGGACCGAAACCTTGCTTTAGGCATTTTGCTTTTATAATAGAACGTACTTTGCTTTTGCAACAGAATGTACTGTGCTGTAAACTCCATTTGCTACATGAGGCCTCTCGAATTGTCTCTCTTGAGTAATCATCCGGAAGGAACTCGGGGTTAGTTACAAAGAGACATTTCCTGGCAAGAACAAAGACGTTCTGCGTTTCGACGCAGATAGAAACCTCGGACAAGGGCCAACGCAGCTGTAAGGAGCACTGGACCTGTGCAATGCATCGCGGTCAACAAAAGGTAACAGGGAAGACTACCCCATCTTCGTCCTCACGACCCTCGGCAACCACCACCAGGAGGCACCGCGCAGCCGCAGATGGGAAGAACCTAATTAGCATGAGAGGTGGGGATAGGTCATTAATATGTATAAGCATGTTTCAAAATCTTGTGAATATGCATTAATTGATTGTATAAAAGGAAGTGAGCCACTATGCTCGGCACGCACGTCTTCGGAGGGGATACCCCCGTGTGCCCCGCGCTGAATAAACATACCTACTTTACAATCTTACAGATTGTGGAGTCTTTATTCCGCAAGTCAAAAGTTTGTCCAAGCTCAAGGAGAGACTGAGCAGGTTCATGTAACAGAAATTCCTTGAAATACGCAGAAACTACACTCTGATGAGCAAATTTCTCATCTGAAAATGAGTCTGGAGTTTGGGACAATATCAGGAAACATCATAAGCACTTGCCCTGGTTTTAGTTTTCCATACACATCTACTCACAGCTATAGTTGGAAGCAGTGTCTTGACTTAGACCAGCCTTTGGTTTAACCCAGTAGAGCCAGTCTTACATTCTTACATGACGATTTAAAACTCAAGGGTTTTAGTCAATAGGAAAAAAATTACTACGTTTCAAAAGATATATACACAGCTCCAGAAATGCCAAACCACAGGAATTGCACATTTTGCAGCTGCTGTAGAGGCTTAAAGGATACAGGTTTTTTTTGGTTCTGTACTCTTCACCTCAACAAAAGTAATTCAAAACTCATTTACCTCTAGGTCCCTATGGAATAAAGTAGAAAATACAGGAAGGAAAACACCCCCTCCATACACACCTTCCCCTAAGTTCCAGAAGAGCAGGACAACAGTAAAGTAGCAAAGGTAGTAAAGATCCCTCACAGTCTCTCTTACATGTTGTTCAGGGGCTATGAAGAAGGTGAGATGTACATGACAACAGCATTGTTTTTAAAAGTAGTGCTAGGCTCCAAATTTCTTGCCAGCAGGTGACTTATCCATTGGAACTGAAAAGTTTCAGAGAAATGAGAGTCTGTTTTCTGTTTCCAAGAGAATAAGACTACATGCCTCAGCAGACAGGTTTGTTTATGCTCATACCTCATGCTCTCTCCTCTTTTCTTCCTCAGGCCAATCTGACACCAACAACATTTAAGACAAGTTCACCCTATTCTAAATTTCTCAATAAATGACCTATTTTTTTGTTTCTATCACTGCCACACGAGAGGACCCAGAAGGTTGTTTAAAGGCAAAAGATGAGTACAACCTTCTTAAAGTCAAACGATTTCACTTCTAAACTGAATACTTTCCCCATGATATATACTGTCCTTGATAAACACACAATATTGTACAGATCTAAGCAGGTAACATTTGGTATCTTAATGTAGTATGTTTAAAACCTCTTGGTACATTTTTTACTCAGGGAGAATACATACAGTCATTCTACTTTGCATGTACAGCATTATTCTGACACAGGTACCCAACAGCAGTGAAAGCAAAAAATAATTATTTTAGTGACTTAAAAGGTATAAGTAATTACCTTGCCTAGACAGATTTCTAATCTACTTACCGACAATGCAAGACTGAGGATGGATGTTGCATAGTTAAAGCTGTGGACTACTTTGTAGGAAGTAGTACTATAAATTTTCACATGCCTGTACAGAAGAGTAATGATTAAAACCTCGTTACTAATGCCTTATTGGAGACACTTCATAGGAATTTCATCACTCTCGACTTCCACAGGTCATTTAAGGAAACAGAGTATTTATACAAAACATTCTTCAGACTACCACTAAGCTTAGTTTTACCTCTCCTGCAACAGAAAGGTTCTGTTAAAAGACACACAAAAGAAAGGATTACCCCTACCAAAAAAGGATAAAAATGGGGCAAGGACAGAAAAAAGAAACTGAAGCCAGATGTAGTGATTATCTGACTTCAGCAATGTTTATTTGGAAACACTAAGACATAATCTCTTCAAATTTGTTCTTAAATTTTAAATGTAAGATCTATGGACAATTTCTGGAAGTAAATCCACAGATATTCCTGTATTCAGCTGCTTTTTAATGATCTGGTTGAAGGTACCACTGTCATTTCAGAGACAACAATTGCTGAGTACCAGCACTCAATACAAACAAACAAAAAAGCAGGGAGGACATATTTCACCTGTGCACCTTGGGTACAAAAAGCAACAGCACAGCAACACAAAACCCAGGTTCTTTAAAGGTGAATACTCATATGCCTTCAGTTTTTTAAAACCGCATTAAAGTTAAGAGTAGTCACTTTACACAGACTGCAAAGGTCAGTTTAGAGATTCAGAAAAAATGAATTCTTATTCAGAAGTCCCCCACATGCATTCCCAAGTGGCACATGCAACCCTTACTTCTATTCAGGCTAGTAAGTGGAAAAAGTTAATGTATATTGCTGTATGTACGTCGGTTCCAAGACACGTTTTCAAATAAGTTGTATCTCTAACAGTTAGAAGAGTTTAAACCCAAAACACATGCACAGATTCACACTAATGTATAATTACCTTCAAAGCAAAAAAAGTCCTACAGAATTTAAATCACAACAAAGCCACAAAATATACTAACCTGTCCAGGGATCCTGACAATAACCTCTGTCCAGAGCTGTTCAGGCATAAACAAGTTACAGTTTTATGGTGATTTTTAAGTGAAACTAGTAACTGTCCGCCTTTTAGTACATCCCAAACTTTGACATATCGACCACCTGTGAGAAGGAAACACAGAAACCAGTTTGGCACATGTACACATTTACACTTCTCTGGAGAATTTTTCACAGAGTGATACAGTGCCTCTTTTGTAGCACAAGAGTTTTCTCTACCTACTCACTGTCTCCATCTATTATGACTATCTCCTGGGACAAGACACACTACAGCCTGCTCTTTTTTAAGCCATTCTGCAGACACAGTGGAATGATTCAACATACTCCTTACAACAAAAAAAAAATTTAGATACCACTGGGTTATAGGACTTCTGATGTAGTGTCAAGAAGAAACTAAAAAGAAAATCTTATCATTAAGAAAAAGCCAGTCCCATCCTTTTAAAACTTATTTACATAGGCTCATTGCTTCACTTTAACACTGGGCTAACTAAAGGTGGTTTTGTTTTGGTTTTTTTGACCAACTATGAGAAAACCAAACCAGGGACAAAAGGCCTCTACCTTCACCCTCCAGATGAACACAGATTCCTAAAGAAGACCTTTGAGAAATACAGCTGTTACATCACTTACCACTTCATTACCAAATGAAAACCCCACACACGAAAGAAGCAGCTGAAATATTTCTTGAATCAGGCTCACAGAAAATAAATGAGATTTTATTGACGTACCTGCAGATACCAGAAGCCCACCAGATGGGAACAGAAGCACACTCTCCACAGGCTGGCCATGTTCTATTGTCATGACACTACTTTTTATTCGTGCATCAAATAGTTTCACAGTGTGATCATAGGAACCTGCAAACAACACCGTAAATAGATCCAGTTTTATAATTTCAATTACTTCAGGAACTAAACCAGACACATCCTACAATCTAAGGGAGCTCCTGTCAAACGGAAACTTTTAAATCATATGCTTAGCACACCTTGTGGTTTACCTTGGTTAATTAATAGCCTGCAGGCAACGTAAGTCTTCCAATTCTAGCCCTAGCAGCATGTCAGGCCTTAAAAGTAATTTAAGCCTTAATTTTTTCCTTCCATTAATTAAGTGTATTTATAACAATCAATATCAGGCAACCTGATGAAACCTCGTCTCCTATACCTCTTAAGTAAGGAAAACTAGTTTTTTCATAGCAATTTACCGCAGACTAATAGAAAGACACTGCTAGGAAAACTAAAAGCAACCAGTTTCAAATACCGCCTCACACAACCTTTCATTTCTGAGTCTGCTAGTTTTGGGCTGTACAAACTACAATGGAACTAGTGCCTTCCTCTGGGACCTGATAAAACACTTCAGTCAAGCCCAGCTAAAGGATACATCCACAGGATTTTCTTAGAACTTTCCAAGGCAAGTCAGAACAGTCCCATTGACCCTAACAGGCTACAGCAACAAGATGCTAAAAATCAGTTCACTCAGCATTTCTCTACAGTTGACATCAGTGCTAAGCTTAAAAAGCAAGCACAAAGGAAACAACAGAGTAGGTACTGAGCAGGAAGACAGATCTTCCATGTTTAAATTATAATAAACAAGACCCTACTGTATCAAAAACTATTTTTCTGCATTTTTAGTTCAATTCAACCCAAAGGAAGCATATGTAAAAAAGAAAATCAAACCTGTTATAAAGACATCTGCATTCACTTTACTTGCACACCCACATCTCACGTAGTCCGTATGTTCACTGTATGAGACGACTTCTGTAGCACTTGGAATATCCCACAAATTTGATGAATAATCATCACCACCAGAAAATATTCGGTATTTATCAGACAGGAATCCCACTACATGAACAGCTCTAGAAGTCAAAGTCCACAATATCCAAAGTTAAAATACATACTTGTTTCCAGAGCACGTAGTCTGCATAAAGAGTTTATTGAAGTATTCCATATTAAAAGTGCAAAGTATTTACTATTAGAAGTTACAAAGCCTCACTTTTGAGATTAAAAACACTTTAGTTTTTGTATTTCCACCCAGAAAAGGATCATGCTGACATATGCTTCCCTAAGCTGCAAATTCTGCTTTTGTTACTTAGAGGTCTGTGCACTAGCACTGTCCTTTAGAATAAATTTATAACAATAAGTTTTAAATATGACTGAGTTGGACACTCTTCTTGTCCTTTAAAATCACTGTTTAAATCTGTATTATCATTGTCAAATCCTGAAGGAGCATGACTTTGATGGGAAAGACTCTCAACCTTATTACAGTTAACCTATTGATTAGGACATGAGATAACACTCTATAACCACACACCTCAAACAGAAACACTCTCAACCTCTGCCTATGTACTCTCCAGTGAAGGAAGGTTTGGAATTGTTGTTCTAGGTGGATAAAAGACTTATCAGTCTACCATAGCAGAGCAATCTGTTTAATCTAAACATTATCACTGTCTTCTCCTGACTGATACATCTGAACTCTTCTAACTCCTTCCCCACCCCAACCCCACTCTGCCATGGGAGTTTTTCTGTTCTTTCTCTGTTTTGTTTTTCTAAGTCATTCCAGCTCTTCCTAAAGTACTTCTTCACTGGTTTTGTTTAGCCATTTATAAAAACTCTTTCCTGCCAGCATCAAATAAAATGTGCTTATCGGTGCCATCTAGTCACAAGACTATCTCTACACAACATATTAACAGACATGTACCTGAATGAGAAAATCTATTTATTCTTCCATGTCCTCAAATCATATTTAGAATTTTTTAAAAAGTCACCCCAATTCTGAATTCAATTTAAGAACTTACTTTTCAGTAAAGTCTATGTGAGACAGTTGCAAACAACATAGATCAGTATTATCCAGGTTTTCAGCAAAATGCAAAACAGACTTATATAAATGCCCCAAAGAGCTTAGGCACACAAAGGAAAACACAACACTGGCTTACTTGGTATGACCATCAAATTGTCTCAGAGGTGCTTTTCCACTAATGTCAAAGAGCTGAATGCTACCTTCCTCGCTGCCAGCAACAAGCAGATTGCCATCATCTCTGTATGTGGCACCATAAGCAGCATCTTTGAAGCGAGAAAACGTTTTGATTGGCTCCTGAGAGTAACGACCATAAATGTGGATCTATCAAAACAAGAAGATATTAAGTTTGCTCATAAGACACCAACTGAAGGGCAAGAACATAAAAACCTCAAAAAAGCCACTTACCCTTGAGGAGGCTGTGACAGCATAGTTATATGGAGGAACTGGGGAGAAGTCAATTTTATTTACTGCACCAAACTCCTTTATCTGAACAGGTGTCTAAAAAAAATTTCGAGAAAGATCACTGAATACACATATTTACATTAACAAAAACAGAATCAGCAAAACAAGACCTATTCTTCTTACAGAGAATGCAAAATTCCATTTAGAACCAAGTCATTTTTAAAACACCATCCTACTGAGTTCATCTTCTGCCAAGCTACTTCTGCTCTTATAATTTTTTTCCAATTCATGCATTACAGCTGACCCATTAGTTATGCGTTTTCAGCAAAAAATAACCTTATTCACTCACACAGATTTAAAAGCACTTCAATTATTTGCACGAAAGCAGTAAAAAAGTATTCTAGAAGAATAACGAAGTCCGTTGGGTCAATCTGGGGCACGAGTCCGCCTCGTTTCCTCGTTTCAGGGCGGCGCTAAAGGACCGCTTCCAACCCAGAGCCGCAGGAGCCGGTAGGAA